ACTTCATGTGGGGTGTGGCAACATGTCCTTCAGCTTGAGCTTGTTGTTGTTGTTCCAAGTGTCTCTGCAGTTTTCTCCACCTACAGTTGTTCCTAGTGAGGGCAATGTTTTGACCGTCTCTGCTCAAGCAGGATCCCTGTGTGGCCTCAACGCTGTTGGTCCGAGTGTCCGGATCATGGAGCCAGGAAGACGTCTGAGTGCTGAAGCGGTATCCATGTGCAGTTCATTAGAATTTAAGTCCAACAAGAATTGAGTTTGACCTTGATGTCAATTTGAGTTATGCAGATGGATCAATTGGAGAAAACGAAGCTATTATGTGGCATGCAACATGTCAAACTATTGTTTTACAGTCCCAGGTGTTTGACTTTCTTCCGATGCGATCGCTGGTTGAACTTATCTGGATTCACATCCATTGCTGACATGCCTATTAGGAAGTTTTTTTTTATTTTATTATTTATTTATTTTTTTCCTCTCTGTATTAAATATGCATATTTGACTGGAATTTTTTTTTCCCCCTCCGTATTAAATTTGCATATTTGACTGGTGTTTCACCAATGTGCCATGATTGTATTTCATTCTGCTTGGTCGTGTGTGTGTGTGTGTGTGTGTTTTAATCCCTTATCCAAAGAACAGTCCATTTAAGTGTAGTCCTTTTTTAAAACTAGACCAACATGCAGTGGTTTGCTTCAAGATGCCTGTCTATGGCCTTCTCTTAAACCATTTAATGAGGTGTTTTTGACCATTCCCCTCCCCATGTTTTTAGGTGTTCAACTTGCTCCCTGTGCGATCACTATCAGATTATCCGTATCCTGTGGAGGATGAACAGGAGTGCCTGAATGTTCGACCCCGTCGACCTGTTCCTACAGACCAAGCTTACGAAGTGTTCAAGGGTGGAAATCATTTGCGGTCACTTGGCTGGATACTCATTTACTTTTGAAATGCATCTTTTGCTTTTGCTTTGACAGAGTGTGGGGATGAAGGTTGCAACAAATCTGCCTGTCCAAGAACCTCACTGCCTGATGTACAGAGGCCTGAATTACTATCGTAACTTCTATCGCAGTAGGTCTTCTAGGTTATTGATCTAAATATCTTTACTTCCTAACCCTGTAGTACAAGTGGAATAAGACAAGTTACCAATCAAGTTAATTTGTACTACAGAGTACAATTTAAATAACTGAAATGATGTGCTAAAAATGAAATCAAATCCGCAAGCAGGTGGTGGCAAGCCACTAAATTTTATCACTGAATCATTAATTCAATTGATTTGTTTCGAACGGCTGAATCATTCAGGAATGAAGCAAGTGTCTGTCTTTATAAACTGATGGAAATCCGTAGTAGCGACGGAACACTATCACTTTAATCCTTGAATACCAGGTACTGTACAACACCCTTGGCTGCAGCAGTAGTTGAGGGTGCTGGAGGTGATGGCAGCTCTTTTGATGTGACCATCAGGACTTATTTTCCAGAAACCTGGATCTGACAGCTTGCTCAAGTGGGGTCAGTGAAGAATCTTGTTTCAGCAAAATGACTCTCCTAAAGCCCTGTCCACACGAACACTGGTATTTTCAAAACTGCTGGGTTGTGTGTGTGTGGGGGGGGGTTCTCTATGCGGTTTGGTCATTTGTCCCCACATGCAGTATCCGGTCACTGAAATGGAACCTTAATAAGTTACTGCCAAGGTGAAAATTTTCAGAAACTCCGGTTTCACTGGCTACACAACACTGCAACTGGGGTTTTTTGGCTTGTGATGTTGGCGTGCACTTATTTCCTCTGGCCAATTACAGACTTGCCTCATGTAAATGTGGTTTTATGGTCCGGTTTATATGCCACCTGCTGGTTTGGCATGCATGTGGATTTTCTTTCAACTGAGGATAAACCCATGTAATAAAAATACCCATGTACGTGTGGACTAGGCGTAAAGCAGGTGTCAAACTGTTCCTGGAGGGCCCCAGCCCTGC